GAAATGAGTCCAATATTGAATAGTTTTTGACTTAATTATATTATTATATGTTATATATACTGTGAAAAAATATTTTTAATATTTACGATTTATACTTTTATAGTTATTTATTTATATATATATACTAAATATTTTGGGGTTAGGCTGTCCAAATTGCATTGTTTAATATGTTATGAATTAATATGTTCTTGGGTTTTTTTGAAATATATATACATGTATTAATTCAACCTTAATCTGAATTTCTGGACAAGAAAGAGGGTAAGCAGTTGAAATTTCATTTTAAAACTCATCTTTTTTGGTCTTTTCATAGCTTATGATCTGTCAAATTTGTAGTTTTCTTTATTGGTTTTGAGTATTTATCTTAAAACTCAAGTTTCTTGGTTCTTTGCTCTTGGTGTAAATCAAACACATTTGTGAAGTCGTTTAAATATGTTGAATTTTAAATATATTGGATTTTAAACTGTCATACAATTTTTTTCCATCGATAGTCTGTACTTGGAAACATAACTCTTATTTATTCAAATTGTATTAATATGTAAAGATCAAGTGTAACATATATCATCGTTAAATCTTATCTTATAAAACCAGTGGAACTTCAAAATCGTTAAAATTCATGACTCCCGCCGCATTGCACGGGTACACAACTAGTATATATATAGACTTGGGATCATGTGAGACCAATGGTTTTTCGTGAGACCCGTAAGACCAATTCTCAACCCTTGGATTAAATTTACAATCGTCAGATCTGAACATTTATAAACGCCACGAGACTTCTCACTAATTACGAAATTGCCACCTTGCAACTTTGCAACCATTAGATCATTAATTCATAAATTTGATCAATGAACATAAATTGGTCTTATGGGTCTCACGAAAAACCTTTGGTCTCACGTGAACCCAACCCTATATATATACACTATATACATATATTAAATAAAAAAAAGAGTAAACTCTAATTTTGATCCTTGAAATTTAGTGGAAATTTTAAAAATGGGACTTAAAGTTTGATAAGTTTTGAAAGCATTCTTGTCGTTTTCATTTTACTTTGAAAGTTGTCCTTAATCACCAAGTGAGAGAAATTTAATTTTTTATCTTTTTTTTTTTTGTTTTTTTTTTATATGTTTACCCTTTTCTATTAATGAGCTTTTTTTTATTTTTCTGTTATTAAAAAATAATATTATATTATATAAAAATGTTATATACAATATAAGATAAAAATGTTACATAGAATCACACTTGTGACACATAAAACACACACATAGACTCATTAAAAGAGATCGAGTGTTTGTGTGTGTTTACTCTGACGAAGACTTACAGTGAGTGTTGTGTTAGCAGGTCTTAATTAACATCTAACAAGAGGTGTATTTTACGTTGGTGTATGTGTTAGAGAGACCCACATGAGTGTGTATATTTTAAATGTCAGGAGGAAGGGGATCGAGCCAATGGAAGGAGATGGGTGGTATCCGGTGATGGAGATGCATAGGGGAGAGATGGGGTGGGAGGTCAGAGCTTCGTTTGTGTTTCAGCTTCTTGGAAGTTGCAGGCATCTCAAGTTGTAGCTTGCAGTGTCTGTGTTAAAAGGCTGGAGCTTTGATTTCGGTGTGTACCCCTTGTTCGATTCGGTGTATAAAATGAAAAACTTGTCTTATATAGTAGTCATTGAATCCATAGATAAAGAAGAACTCAAAGGGGATACAAAACTTAAACTGTGGTTTGCTTTGGACGGAGGAAGAGGCCGCTGAGGGAAAGTGTGCTGAGATCTATGTATATAAAGAAAATGAGCATTTTGTTCTAAACAGATTATTTATACTGTTTTCAAAATAGAGAAACCTCTAAATTTAGAGAATTTTCTAAAACTTGATGTGTGACGATAGAATTTATAAAAATTCATATTAAGATGATAAATTTATAAAATATTTTATATAATTTTTTTTTTAAATTTCATATTAAGATGATAAATTTATAAAATATTTTTAATAATACTAGAATGGTACTTGGGTAATGCAGCGAGATACATATCAATTTTTATGTTTCGTTTTATTCTTTGTCTCCGTCGATGTTATAATAGGATTTTATGTAGTTTTAAGATATCGATAATGTTTTTATGTTTGAATAAAATTTAGATTTGAAGATTTCATAAAAAAATATATCGATATTAGTATCAAATTAACTATCTAATAATACTAAAAGGGTACTCAAGTAAAACAACGAGATACGTCTTGGTTTTAATATTTCGTTTTATTCTCTGTCTCCGTGATGTTTTAATATGGTTTTAATTTGTTATAATTTAATTTAGATTTAGTAACGAAGTAAATTATTTTGGTTTAATAATATAATTTTTGTATAAAGATAATAATTAAGTATTATGCAATGATTATTAATTATATTTTAAATTTTTTATGTTTAAGATGAGATATTTATTATGTATTTGATTGTGTTTATTTACAGTTAATTACACAAATTCAAACATATAACTTTAATAAATTGTACTTACGCACAAATTACTTGCAATCTTAGTTTTTAAGTAATATGTATTAATAAACACTATTAGATACATAAAAAATGATTTTTAAGAATTTATATTAAATACTCTATAATGTAATTAGAATGATACTTGCACAATGCAATAATATACATTTCGATTTTAATATTTTGTTTTATTATTTTTCTCTGTCGATATAATACGGTTTTACATGGTTGTGAGAAAACAATAATATTTTTATTTTTAAATAAAATATAAATTTAAAAATATCATAAAAATTTGAAAAAATATATCGATATTATTTAAAAATTCTTTTTTT